TTTGAAAACGGTTTAAACGTACATTCTACTCATTACGGTAGACATCTATAAAAATATTAAAAAAATAAATTCGCAAATATTAATTGATCAAAATACTCTCGAAATGTTTTAGGAGTATTTTGGTCAATTTACATTTTTCGAATTATTTTTTCCATATTTTTATTGGATTCTACTATTTTTTAAGAATAGACACTCAAAATTGCATGTGATTAAGATTTGTATACAAAAATCGAAAATCGAATTACGAAATGAGGTTGTGACCATTAGATTGAGCCCAGATTGAATTTGAGCGGTTGGCTAACACTGTAGCTGTCAGGATTTTTTTCTATATATATATATATATATAAAGATCAAAATTCAAATGAAATCACCCATAGAAAATTATTACCCATATTTCAAAACTTAAACATCCAAGACCTAGTATCGGCTGCTGGTATTGTGCGACACAGTATGCATGCAGGTGTGACGCATAATGCGTCGCAAGGACCAACAACTCCTTGCATTTGTACACGCCTTCTCCCTGCTATAAATGTCCCACACGAGAGAGTGGCTCGGACTTTTCCAAGAGGACCTATAAAGGGTAAAATGGAGGGTCTAATCTTCCGAAGATGCCTATCTAGAAAGGTGTGATGGCTGGGACATCTTTCTAGATAAGCATCCTCAGAAGATTAGACCCTCCATTTTACCCTTTTAGCCCAAACAATATTGCGCTCTAAGGAGCTATTGGCATTTCCGATCCCCTAATACCTTTGATATTGATATTAGAGCCTATATTGACGCTGATCGTGTTATGATGGCACTCAAATGGAAGATATGTTTTGGGTTTTTGTTGCTTTATTGAAAGAAATCTATTGACATAGAAAAATAAGAGACTACTAATTGTATCTATCTCAAGTGGTGTCTGAATATAGAGCTATGTCAACTGCAACTCATAAAATGATACGTATTGAAGGACTTTTAGAAGAAATTGGAGAGAAGGTTCCATAAACAATGTTGATAAATTGTGTCAACAAAAGTGCCACTCAAATAGCTGAAAATTCAATTTTCCATATATGTCCCGGGTATAGTGAAGTTCATTGTCATAATAACAGTGTTTAACAAAATGTGCATATGTTGACTCTTAGTTTTTTATTAAAAAATACTTGTTTGTATTTCAAAATTATAATATTGTTTTGTATGATTTTTTTTAAGATGTATTTTGTAGAGAGAGATGTGTGGATTTTTAGTCCCACATTGAGAAAGAGAGTGTAGATTGAATGGTATTTAAGTGTAGGCATTCTCATGCTTATACTTTTTGTACAAAGGTGAGATTGATGATGTATGTGTGAAGCATGTGAAGCGTATGTTGGGAGGATTATAGAGAAAAAAGGAGAATAATAAAGGCCATAAGCTTAAGGGCGCTTGATGGTGCACATGAACAGGTCAGGCTCAGGGTTCGAAATCTTTTTGTGAGCATGGCTCATGTGGACATCCAACAGTCACTAGCTGTGGAAGAGGAGGAGTCTTGAAACCGCAGCAATCGAATTTAAAGGCGTGCATGTAACTTGTGATTATTGGTGGTGCATGTAACCTCTCTTACAGTAAATGGGCATCGTCTTGGAGCTCTATAAAAAATGTTTTTTTTTTTCTTCATATGAATTACTCTCTTCTCACACCATTCTAAGGAATTTTAGAGAGCATAAAAAAGCACATCTCTCTCTATCTACTCATTTTCTCTCTCTCTTACAACAACACAGAACCGGTATCTTCTGTGAGCTTCAAACTCAGGTGCATAGAGCTTTGGAGCATCAAAATAGACCTTTATGTTTTCTTGTATCCCAAAAACCTAGTACCTTTCTTTATACACATAATTTACAATATCAAATAAAAGAGCAAATATGGTCTTGAGATAGCACTACGCGTGGCTCAAAGCAAGAAGTGTTCAAACGATACTTTCTTAATCCATGCTATCTTGTTCCCCTATTTCACCTCCCAACATCGACCTTGTGTTCTTTCCAAGTCAGGTAGGAGGCTTTGATTGGACTTCATGTACATCATCACTCACATGAGAAACTCTTTCCTCTCACTTCCTTGAGGATTACAAATTGTGTGGTGACTCTCAATCAAAGTCTACATAGATGAGAATAGATTGATGGACAATCTCGTACTTCATTTACAGTGTTTTACTTTCACATGTTATTTTTGTCCAAAACAGCAAGTAGGACTCATTTAAAATTAAACAAGGTGTCTTTTGGCATAAATTTGATGGAACATTGACCCCGTCATACTAAGAAGCAAGAACATCAGTAAAGCAGACAGGTATCACTACGTGAACACTTAATTATCGTATATCTACGTACTTTCGATTGTATATTTATGCGATTATTTATATGGTGTGGTTTTTATAAGGTTGCTACCTTAAACAATCTAATTAATGTGCACCTCCAAATTTTATCGTAACAGGTAATTTTGTTTTAAAAAATTCTTAAGATTATCATAAAATCTATTTGTATATCTAATTAAAAAAAATTTAACTTAAAAAATGGTGAAAATCAAATAGATCAATAAACATATGAAAATCCTAAAAATAAACAGTCTAGATAACGTGCGACAAGATGCACTATTTTTGGGATTCAAATTTTATTTTTTTCATATTCATACGTCTCGATGTCAAGATGATCAGTTAGAGGGTTTTTCAACATTAAAACAACCTTTTCGATAAATTTTTCATGTGCATATGTAATTCTACATTTAAAGGTTGCAACCTTATATAAATTTTTTCCTTATTTATATGAACACTTATTTCTTATTTCATTTCTATGTGAAGTTCAATCCCCACTAATAAAGTTTATGCTAAAGGCAACCAAACCTATGAATTTTGAAGAAAACGATGTTGGCCTCAAATTTGCACATTTTAATTGCTCAAAGTTCTTGCCAATATCAATTTAAAATGGGAAATGGATTGATGGGGCTGCAATCCTATTAAAATAAATAAAACCTCACCTCATAACTCATCGAGAATTATAATTCAACCGTTGGAGAACCTTTACATTGATCATCTCTGCTCGAATGTTATGGTTGTGAAAAGAATTTCGATTTCAAGCTTTGTATATTGTAACAAATTATCTAGACCGTTCTTTTTGCCCTAAAAATAAGTGTTCACATATCCGCAATATCTGAAGCATTTTTTTTAATTTCAAATTTTATTGTTGGTATTGAAAATCTATTTTAAAGCCATCATGGAGATTTCCGTTGCCAAAATTGCCTTTTGGATTCCGTTGCCAAAATCGCCTTTTGGATGACGATTTGAGGTGAAGCTTTATTTTGTTTGTATAGAATCTTCATCCTTTAAAGTGTGATATATACATGCCTAACGTATTGAATAATAAATGACCCTTCAAATTTAAGGACTCTTCTGCTCATGTGTTTCTTTCTACCTAGTTCATGATGCTCTCGTGTTATTTATACTAACGGGCTTCTCTTCAAGTAATAAATATCACTTCAATTTATTGAAAAACAACAATATATAACGGGAAAAGAGTCCTCAATTATGCAATGCTATGGAAAACTAGAAATAAGTGTGAAAAATGGTGCATGAAAATGCAATTAATAAGCCTAGTTGGGCAGATAAGGTTCTTTGCCATAACCCTAATTCTGCCACTCTCACGAGATGCCGATGCCTTTGTTATCATCTCACACGCAACACTACGTCATTTGTCATTTCCCCCTCTCTCTTCTTTCTCTCTCTAACTCTTTCTCTCTCTAGTTCTCTGCTAGAGCCTGCAACTGCACTCTAATTATGAACAAAAACAGCACCCATCCCGAGAAAATTAATGGAACCTGAGAAAGCAAGGTCGGGTTTAGCAAGGTTGATTGCCCTCCCTTGAGCCAGAACACACCTCTAGAGAGAGAAACTGGAAAAATGTACAATCCCCAAAATTTACTGTGGCTGATCAACCTGTAAGTGCACCACTAGGGTTTTCATTGGGGCTTCTGTGTTTTGGGAGAGAGACCAGAATTTCATGGAGATTTCGATCAGTGGATGTGATAATGGATCATCAGATGTTCAGTGTGGGAAAGACAAGGCCTGAACCAGGAGTGATAATTGAGTGAAATTCATGAACCAGGAGTGCTTAAAATTTGAGGGAAATTTCATGGACCCATCCATCCAACCTTTCTTTCCCCGGCTGGAGTCCGACCCTTTGTTTATCAAAAAAAATAAAAATTTCATGGACCCAAGAATGATAGAGTAGAAAGAAATTTAATAGACGGAGTAATGTAAGAGAGAAATTTCATGGACCAAGACTGATAACAATGGAGAATGTTTTTGTAGGTACCCCTTCTTCCACAGTTGATGAAGATAAAAAGTCCGGAGAGAGAGAGAGAGGAGAGAGAAAGAGAGATGTTTTACTCTCAAGAAAGATATTGGCCATAAGAGAGGGAGAGCTTCACAATGATTATGAAGAGGGAAAGAGAGAGAGGAAAGCCTCACACTGAATGTGAGGAGAGAGAGAGAGAGAATCCATGGCAAAAAAACAAAGAAGAAGATATGTTTAACCTGAAGTGTGAATCCAAACTAGGGTTACTTTTATTAATGGATAGAAAAAACTTCAAACATCCTCATGAAAAAAATCTATAGAGATTCGGCTATATCCAAGATGCTTCTCTCACTCTAACTCTACAACTACTGCAACAAATTTATCTCTCTCTCACTCTACAGTCGACCCACACGCGCACACAAAGAGAAGGGACTGCATGAAAACCAGCCCAGACTCCTCTCCTCGAACACTAACAAGTGTCAGAAAAGCGCTAACAATAATAAAACCACAATCTCTCTCTCCCCTCTCTCTACATCAAATGCCATGGTTTCTCTCTCTAAAAAACAGCTTTCCCAGCTCTCAGCACCAAGGATGAGCAATGCCCCATCATCCAACAAGACCACTAAACAAAAATAACAATAGATTAAAGTTCAAAAAATTGAAAAAAAAAAAAGAAAGAAGAAAATAGAGGGAGAGAGAGAGAAGTTAAATAGGAGAAAAAAGGGAGAAAATCCTCAACAGGAAGTAAAAAAGGGTAAAAAAAAGAAAAAAAAAAAAAATTGGATGGTACAACGTGAATCGCCATCATGAACCAGAAGGAGGCTTCTTACCCAGAGTGTGCTTGTTATTATGCATCCATACTTTGAGGACATGCCTCTTAACACAAGCCTCAGCGCAAAACCTCTGCACCTCGGCCTCATCCTGCTTCTGTATCCTCCACCCCACCTTCTCTGCAAACGCCAGCATCTTATCCTTTTGTTCCTGACTAAACTTTGTCCTAAACCTCTTCTTTATCACCCCCAATCCTTGGCCATGGCTGTGCCCGGCCCCGGAACCCGGCACATTCGATACATCCTCGTCATCGCGACTGTGGCCCCCGGAACTTGAAGGCAGCGCCAGCGGCGCTGCTCTGTGTGCTGCTGCCGCATATGGCGCAGGCCCCCCGACGCTGCCACCATAAAAGTGAGGGTACTGCCGGAAGATCTCGCCGTCGGACTCCTTACGGTGGAAATTGCGATGGCAGCCACACGCGGCGCACTTGAGGGCGCCGAGGGAGCCATCCTCCCCCGCGGGCATGAACTCACCGCACCCATCGACGGCGTGGCCGCCCATGCTGACGGCATGGTTCTTTAGACACTCGCGGTAGCGGTTCGCCGTCAATGGGGTGCGCTTTTGTGGAGGCTCGGCGTTGCTCCCCATTTTGAGGCGGGGGTGCACGGGAAGGCTGATTTCTTCCTCCTCTTCTTCTTCGTGGTCGTCTTCGTGGTCGTTGCTATCCATGACTCGGGTTATGGAGCCATGGTTAGGGTTAGGGTTAGGGCCTTTTTGGGGGGGAATTTGGGCGAGGTTAGCGAAGTTTTTCGGCGAGATGAGGAGATAAGAGGGGTGGGGAAGAGGTGTGGACCTTAATGAGAGAGAGAGAGAGAGAGGTGTTGCAAAAGAGAAAAAGGGGCTTCTTTTGGGGCTTGATGTGCTCTCTCTCTCTCTCTATTTTGTGAAAGCTCCACTAACTGTCCTGTCTTGAGAGATGAGAGAGAGAGAGAATTCTTTCTTCTTTGAGCCGGTGGAGCCACCGGGCATTGGCGGTGTCTGGTTTTACTGCGCTGGTGACGTTTTTTACCATCACGGTCAACATGGCCAGTGGAAACCACACACTGTGCCTTTACTTTTTTCAGAAATGGACGAACCACGCCGGGTGCCTTATGACGCTTTTGCCCTCGCTCGGACCAATTATTTAGGAGAGAAACCTTTGCCAGCCCCCCAATTTTGATACAGCGGGAGAGAAAAAACTCTAATCCGCGGTTGCAACCTTAAGCAATCCAATTAACGCGCACCTTAAAATTTTATTATAACATGTAATTTTTTTGTAAAAAATACTTAGTATTATCTTGAAATCTATTTTCATACTTAATTAAAAAATTTTAAATTTCAAAAATGGTTAAAAACAAGTAGATCTATAAATACATAAAAATCTTGAAAATGGACGGTCTAAAAATTGTGTTGCAAGATGCACTAATTTTGAGACTCAAAAACGTCTTCTTTCATATTTATGCATCTCGATGTCGAAATGATCGATTATAAAGTTTTTTCAACATTAAAACAACATTTCAGATAGATTTTTTAGGTGCATCTTTGATTCTACATTTTAAGGTTGCAACCTTATATAACTTTTTCCCAAACTTTAAATCCTACTTTCAAGCCTAACTCATCAACCTTAAAAACTTAGGATCTTAAACCCTAACCTTAGATCTAGGCCATTAAACCCTAGAAAAAATTGATATCACAATAGAATACTTCATAGTTATATTTCAATCAATTTCCAACTTGAATAAGAAAGTAACGACGTAAATAACCTACGGTCATGATGCAGGCCCCAAATCCGGATTTTGGGTGTCCAAGGCCAACTGTCCCGGAGAGGTCAGTTCTTTTTGTTGTTTGGAAAATTTATAGATGCCGCCATCAAAATCAACTTTCTAAACATCTTACTCCCGAATATTAATTCAATCTAACCTTAAACCCCAATATTATTTTTTATTGTATTTATCTCTTAATCATAAAGTCAACAAGTTTAAGATAGAAAATGCTTTTATCCTCTCTCTACATAAATAAAAATCTTACACATGTCAATTTTTTGAACCCTCTCTCTTTCACTCGCTGCACGCCATCTCTCTCGTTTCAACCTGCCATCTCTCTCCCCTCTCTATGCCATCCCTCTCTACCCATACACACTCTCTCTTTCTCTCTCTACCTGCCCTCTATCCCTCTGAGGTGGTCTCACACCCACTGCGCCGGAATGTGTATTATCCAAAGAAGCCTATGTCCCTCTACAGTGGTCGAGCACCTAGTGCATCAGACCAAAAGTTTTTTGCGAGAGAGAGAGAGAGAGAGAGAGAGAGCGAGAGGAGAGAAAGGGCAAGTAGAGAAATAAAGTGAAAGAGAGGGCAAGAAGAGAGAGAAAGAGAGTGGGCAAGTAGAGAGAGGGCATAGAGAAAGAAGAGAGAGATCGAGGGTAAAGAAAGAGATAGATGGCATGTAGAGAGAGAAAGAGAGAGTAGAGAGAGAATGAGAGAAGCTGACATGTGTCAGATTTTTGTTGGTATATAGAAAGGATAAGAGCATTTTCGTCTTAAACTTGTTGATTTTTTGATTGAGAGTAAATACAAAAAAAAATAATGTTAGAATTTAAGATGTGAGAGAACAAATATTAGGGTAAGAGGACTAAAAAGTTGATTTTGAGGGAGATATCTATAATTTTTGATTGTTTATTTCTCTTTATTTTCACTTCATCTTTAGATCCATTTACATTTTGGAAGTGTTTTTGAAGTCGAAAATCAGCTAACAATCTTAGGAGGAATCCGATTTATCAAGATCAACTTTTCTTCATCAGATTGTAATTCGACCAGCCCTACAATCTCTACCGATTTTCATATTTTAATTAGTTTGGAAGTCAGATCAGATAGGTTCTCTCCATCATAAACTCGGATTTGGCTATAAACAAGAATTAAAGTGAAGAGAAGTCTTTATTCACCTGCACTTAAAAAGATAAGGCCTAAAGCCAGTAAGGAGGATTTCCTAAGCGGGGTTTGATCCTTTCACAGGCAAGTGTGATGTTTTCCAAGGCAAAGCAATGTAGTGAAGGATTGAGTGAGGTCCAAGGGGGACTTCCTAATTGATGTTACTCTTCAGATATATCTTTTAATTCCTAGAGCAATTGTTTAATGATTTTGTTTTGCAACATGGTCTAATAGATCTCCCAATTGGTGCATACCAGTTCACGGTTAAATTGGATCGCTTCCTAATATTTAGTGAATGGAAAATAGCTTTCCCATGGTGTGTGTTTATGCCGTACCTAAATAATCTTATTATGTTCTTATTCGCTCGCAAACCAATAAAGAACAATGGGGACTAGGGCCTTTTAGAATGGATATGGATATTGGATGGCCAGAGGAAATAATAGTAGTGGATTTAATTGAGTAATAATGGATGGTGTAGTTATAGACTCCACAAGAAATTACTTAACATTAAACATAGGCTAATTGATTCGAAGACAGAAATCACTTTAAGCCAAGATTGATACGAACTCTAGAACAAAATGATCAAGGTGCTCTTTCCAAAGATATTGAGGTGCAAAAAGTGAATCTTATAAAATCTTGGCATGAATACTTAAGGTTTGAAAGAAATTTATTGGAAATAAAGATCCATAATAAAATGGTCAAGGAAACTAAAATTTTCCACTCTATTGCTAGTGCGAGGAGACGACAAAATGGTATCTCTGGGCTTACTTTTGAAGGGATTGAACAAGGTGAATGTCAAGGGCCAGAAAATAAAATGGTTAATAACTTGCAAATGACTTTTACATGTGAACATACCTTTGCAGTAAAAAATGGCCTCCCTTTCTATCCCTTCCAAGAAACTACCTGATCAAATTGTTAGATAGCTGGAGGATGATTCTGCTGAGGATGAGCTAAAGATGACTATTTTTTAAATGCTTGGAGACAAGACCCCTGGTCTAGATGGATCTCATTTGGTTTTATTTTGAATTCGTTTGGAATATGGTCAGTGATGAACTGCTTATCATGGTGAGAGAATTTATGGAGAGGGGAGTGATAAATTGTTTATAGCCAAAATCCAAGAGAATCATAGATGAAATCCTCTCTAATTTGCATATAGGCGGGGTCCATCAAATTATTGCTCAAATATAGATTTGATCTCAAAAGATTTGCGCTCTGTAAGAACTGCAAGTAGCGTCATCTTGAAATTGTGCAAATTTAAAGAAAGAAACTAAGAAAACTAATAATTAATTAAAGAAAGAGGAAAAAAAACTTGTTCATAAAACCTAGAGTTGGTGTCTGTATTTAGAGAACGGGTTGATTTACACCTTTGGTGCTTTCTCTTTCTTCAAGAATCAGTTGAATTTGATTTTCTAGAGAATGTTTTTTTATGGGGTTTTGAATCGAGACCTTGAAACTATAGAATTTTGGATTGTACGGAATTAGGGTTGAGATCTCTAGATTTTTTCTAGGGGTTCTTCCTACTTCTAGGGTTTATAGGATTCTACTCTAGCCTATAGGATTTCTCGAGTATTTTCTTAAGATTTCTTGGGATTTTAGGCATCTCTTATTTCTAAGATATTTTTCTAGGGTTTTGGTTATTTTCTTAAGATTTTTTTAGGGATTTTTAGGTTGTGATCTATGGAGGGTTAGATGGGTTTATATAGGCTTTAGCATTGGGGAATATTATTATTAGGATTACAATTTCTAGGTTTATCTCTAGATTTGATAGAGCTTGACTGGTAAAAAATCTTGATCAAACTTTGTCAAGAATTACTCCAAAAGTCTTCAAGAAATGTCTAGAAATCTTCTGGAACGTTGTGAAATTTTCCATATTTTTTTCAGGACTTAGAATGGCGCGTTTCACATTAGTGGGCCCATCGGGCCTAGGGACGTGCCCCGTGCTGTTGATCCTGATTCACCACTGGCTCACACCAGGAATTATGATGAGTCTTGTGGTGGTGGTGTGGTTCAGTTTGGGTGCATTTCTGGGTTCACTGTCAGCTATTTTTTCGATATGTCTATGTTGTTTTGGACAACCTCGGATAATTTCGGACTAGATTTGGTTAAAAGGGCTAGTTTTGTTCGGAATTATGGATTTTCTACGGATCACGGACTACAAGTTGGTGTGTCCTCAGGTCTACTGCACTACTATGGCCTTATGGTTTGGGGTTATAAGGTTTTTGGAATTCTACTGGCCAAATTTTAAAAAGGGTGTTGACATAAATAATGGGATAAAATCAACTTATATTTCTCTAATCCCTAAGAATTCCGCTATTAACAAGTTGAATAATACAAGTCCCATAAGTTTGCGTACAAGTCTCTATAAAATTATTTCAAATATCTTCGTTAAAGGATTAAAAGTGCTTCTTATCTCGGGTCCCTCATAGACATTTATTCAAAATAAACTAAAACATTAAAAGTGCTTCCCTTTAGGAACTTGAATGGTGAACTAGAATTTTAAGAGAGTTGGATATGAGAAAAGCTTGTGACAGAGTTGATTAAGGGTGTCTATCAAGTGATCATTTCTCCATGTTGATCAATGGTCTTTTTGTATACTTTTCGATGATGTAAACTGATAATTAATAAAAATAACATTCAATTATTCATTGGTAAAAGGATAAAATGTCATTCTAGTTCCATATTTATTAGGGGATAGACTTACGAGGCTGCGTTGGCTTGATATTTTTACTACGGCTAGACGTTCTTCGGTTAAGGTAAATGAAAGGACTAAACATATTGTCTCGAAGTGGTTTTGGAGTAAACCACTTCAAGACATTATGTTTAGTCCTTTCATTTACCTTAGCCGAAGATATATATAACCAATGCTTAACAAGATTTGGAAATGGCTAATTCTTCACAAGGATCTTACTGTGGATTACCTTAAAAAGAGTTAAAATTATAGATTGCCTTAAAAAGAGAGAGAAAATTATAGTT